TCATCTTCCATAAATATTTAAATCATAATAAATGAACTCTAATCATTTCCATAAATATTTCAATTTATTGGGTTGCATTGGTTGTACAAATGCAATAGGTTGTATTTGAAATAAACCCTATATATATATATATATATACACACACATACATATATACACACACTTAATATCATGTAAGACAAGTATGTTTTCGTGAAACACGTGAGACAACTTTTTTATACTTGAAACTTCACAACAAAATATCGTGAAGGTAACATTTACAGTGTTTTTGCTGTGAATGCACTGTGAAGGTTACCTTCACAACATTTTGCTGTGAAGTTTCAAGTGTAAAAAAGTTGTCTCACATGTCTCACGAAAACAACCTTGTCTCACATGTCTCACGAAAACAACCTTGTCTCACATGAACCCAACTATATATATATATATATATATATATATATATATATATAGAGAGAGAGAGAGAGAGAGAGAGAGAGAGAGAGAGGGAGGGAGAGGAAGTTTATTTTGCAAACCATGTTATTTGTATAAACCGTACAAATCCCATTCACCAAATCATAATTTTTCATTTTGTTCATTTTTTGTAATCATGAGAGGTTGATCAATCATTTTTATCGTGGAGGGTGTTAATCATGGATATTATCATCTTCATTATATTATTTTTAGAGAAATACATGAAACAGTTTCATTAAAATTTCATAAATATTATATGAAACAATTACAAAACCATATATGAAACAACTTCATTAAGAAAAAGTATTATATGAAACAATTTCACAAAATTAAACAATTTCATGAAAAAATTTCTAAACAATGAAATCCACGGATGAGGGTGGTCTGCACGGTTTGTACAAATATGAGTGGTTTGTATTTGATCGCTCCTCTATCTCTCTCTCTTTCTCTCTCTATCTATATATATAATTTTTTTGGTCGGATAATTATATCTGAGAAACATACATAAATACAATTGGTCGAACTTTGTACCGAATAGGATTTTCAATGTAATTTAGAATAAAATTCATCAAAAGTAACGAATGTTGTCTTAAATATTATCTAATGTAAGTGTAACGATAAACCTCTTTTTCTTAGTTTATACAGTAAACATTCATTGTTTTTTATTTGAATTCATTTTATCTGATAAATGGATTTTCAATCTATATGACATCTGTTAATTTTATTATAATGTCTTTCATGTAACAAAAAACTTTGAAAACTTAATATATGCATAATTAATAGTTACAATTATGTTGGTTACCGATCAAATTAAATATAAAATTGAAATACCAGAACACTCGTTTTGTCATACTAAATTGACAGCAAGACAACTTTTAACACATTTTGATGTTGTTTG